GGGAAAAAAAAAAAATTCCCATTAAATCTGTGTTTATATGTGTCTCCGCTTATTTTTATTAGATTTTCTGACTCTCTCAGGAATCACTGCTTAATTATGACTAGACATATTTCCCTGGTCTGTCAATAGATAATACATTTCCCTGCTTTAAATTTTAATCAGACAAGAAAGTAAGGGGGAAATGTGGGTTGTGTTTTCCTAAAAGATCAGGATTTACAAACAGTTTATTTTTCTAATACATTTTCATAAGAATCTGTAAACAAAGACTCAACTTTTGTGACAATTAGCCATTGCTAGGCCAAAATATAAGAGGCAACAGTAACTTATAATACTCCATATTTTGGGAGCAGACTGAGGGAAGTTTAATTGCTTTCTTTTTCCAGCACAAATCCTTTTATCTAACCAGAAGGAAACAAACCATCAATTTTGAAGATGAATCTACTGAGAAGATAATAGTAAAATTTAAAAAGGAGATTGCCACGATCATGTGACTATTCTATTCACATTAAAACACTCATAATTGAAGTTTCTACTTTATATACAAAGAGCTAGCATTGTTTCTATAGTAAGGTAGATGTCTAGAATGATCCACTCAAGGAAGCTCATTTAGTCCAACTTAACGAAGCCTATATCCTTCGCATATGGTTGGAAACACTGGCAGTACATATAGAGGCCATATTTCCAGATCAGACTGTGCCAGTTTGAACAGATGTGGCAAGAACGAGAATCCTGGTCAAATTTTCTCAGATGGCTCCAATAGAGTTACTGGTGACCCATCTTGTTCTTTTGGGGGCAACGAGGCAAAAGCAGAAGTTTAATTTCTTAAAGAATTTAATGACTTGTATCTCAGAAACCCAAATTATGTGATATGACTGTAATAAAGACAGTCATAGGAACAGGTCTCAGCTTCATGTTTTCTCAGCAGTAACGATATAATGTGGGCCTGTAAAATGCTGCCACTAATTGATCTAGTTGCAGACTTAGATTTCTATTTATACATTCATAACCTAACTCATAACCAGAGCAGTAGACATTCAGGATAAACTCATTAGAGTAATACAAAGGCCTTTGATGTAAGGAACATCTGCTCTTATAAGCTGTTTAATTACAATGAAGTGTTCAAATATTCTGCCTTTTCTGGCTGGAGCTTTTAAAGCTATAGTGGAAATATTGCATCTGGACGAAAACCTCTTTTCATTATGGTTCCTACTTTTTCTTTTATATGAAATCTACTAACCTGATAGATAAAGCCACTCATCCGAGGACTTGCAGATAACATTATTAAGACATTTGAAAATAACATGGTACCGCTCT